AAGTTACAATTTAAAAAAATAAGCTCTACTGAAATTAGCACTTTTACCCCACCCTAGTAGGCATGGGGCCCCACGCGGTTGAGAGGTTCAGGGTAGTAAGCCTGGCCCTGTTTATTATTATAGTTGATGATTGACAATATAACTTTGGAAGAAAAAAGTCAAAAGTGGCAAAAGCAAAAAAAAAAAAGAAAAGAAAAAAGTTTGCTGAAACTAGCCCTTTTGGGACTCCAACCTCATCGGGGATTCCTGCGTAGTATGCACCGCACCTGCCATGCAGATACACGATGTATATTATTAGTTGATGACAGACAATGTTACGTCAGTTTAAAAATAAATTTAAAAATGGCGGATGGCAATAAAACAGTGCTGAAAAAAAAAATGAAGTAAACCACAACGAGGCTCCAAGAAACGTGCCCCCCCCTCCAATCGGGAGTTTCGGTGGTAAGACGTGCCGGCTCTGGCCATATATTCTTTAAGTTTAGTCTTCATTTCTTTGTTTCTATAAGAAATTTTCCTGTATCTTAATACTTTGCTTAGCTTTAGAAGGTGTTTTTCATTATTCCAAAGCGCTTTTGCATTTGATGCCGCATTTTCCTGTAAAACACTTCCTAGATATTTAAATTTTTGTACTTGATTTTGTTTGTAGTTCGCATCTTGTACTCTTCTTTTTGTTGCCTTCTTACAATTATTGTTTCGTTCTTTCTTCTCATTTTCCTTTTTCTCTGTAGGAGTTCCTGTATTTTTCTGTGTTATTGACATATCTTCCATTGTTAAGACTGTGGTCGCCAATAATAAATCCTAGATTGCCTCAATGCAGAAAATTACGTCGACAGATACGATCAGAAACTGTTGTTAAATATAGTCATTGTACAGGGTGCGGTAGAAATACGTCCCTCATATAGCTCTCACATAATGGTAAGACATCTGTGAGGATGTTGTTTTCATTTATTTATTGTCTTACCATTATGTGGGAGGATGTTCCTACTGCACAATGTATAAAGGTTACATATAAAGATAAAATTAAATGAAGCATTTATAACAAAAGGCATAAGGGTAAATTTTAGTCCAAGTTCATTCAATAGGTTAGAACGCTAAACAACCTACACTTAGTGTCAATGTTATCGAGCCCAGATGTAACCACTTGTAGATGAAAAGACCCAACTATCTTTTGTGCAGCATTTGTGGGGGCCGACTGAAGTTTCTTTTGAGTTTGGATTCTGCTTTTATATGGACTGTACGAATCTTTAGGTCATCGAGGTGCAGCGAATACTAATTAGTTGAAAAATAAGTCTTTTTTTTTGGCACTGATTTCTGATTGGCTACAATGAAAATTCATTTTGATTCACTTTTTTTTTCTAATGAAGAAGAAAACACTTTTGTGGGTTTTGGGAATTAGTATTGTAGTGGCGAATTTTGCTACTTTGGGTAATTTAATATAATCAGCATCCTCGTTTTTTTTGTTTTGTTGTTTTTGAAAACAAATTATTTTTCAATATTTATAAAAATAAATGAAACAACAGACGTGTAGATGCCAACAATGTATAAAGTATTTGACAACAGTTTTGAATTTGTTGTGTGATTGGAAAATTTCTTCTATTGGACAAATGTCTGAAATTCTACGAGGATACAATAAAGCTCAAAAAGCAAGAATATTGACTCATAACAGAAGAATGGATGGAAACTAAATGGTGAGATATAGGAGCCAAAATAAATAAATATATCAATAAAAAGCAGCGATACGTCAATAAGTAAAAAATCATAGATAGATATGGATAGACTGTGATAGATAGATAGATAGATAGATAGATATGGATAGACTGCGATATATACATAGGTACGAATAGACTGAGATATATATGGATAGGTTGCGATAGACACACATAGACGGAGATAGTTATCAATAGATTGAGGTATATACATAGATATAAATAGACTGATATGAATAGATTTAGATAGATATGTATAGATTTAGATAGATAGATATGAATAGACTGATATAGACAGATTGATAGATAGATAGATATGCATAGACCAGGACAAATAGATTGCGATACATAGAAAGATAGATATGAATAGACTGAGATAGATAGACACATAATGAATAGATTTAGATAGATAGATAGATAGATAGATATGAATAGACTGATATAGATAGATAGATAGATAGATATGAATAGACTGATATAGATAGATAGATAGATAGATATGAATAGACTGATATAGATAAAGAGATAGATAAATATGAATAGACTGATATAGATAGATAGATAGATATGAATAGACTGAGACAGATAAAAATAGATAGAAAGAAAGAAAGAAAGAAAGAAAGAAAGAAAGAAAGAAAGAAAGAAAGAAAGGGAGATGAATAAATTGAGATAAGTTGATATTAGTAATAATAACAAAGATTTATACCAAAAAAACCGTCAACTAGTAAATTACTGGAGGATGTTTAAATCCATCAGATTTTGTAAAGTGCCCAGTATTAGGAAGTCATTGAATTATTAGCTGTTTTCCCTATAAAGACAGATTCGGCATTCATTGACTGAGCAGCCAGTGCCGTTGTCGGTTGAAATTTATAAAATCTCTCTCTTAAAAAATTTTTTAGAAAAATAAATTTTTCAAGTCCAATAGCTGTTATCTTCTTTCTAGTATTAATGGTGGCTTCTTTCCTAATATTTTATTTCAAGTAATGTAGAACCTTAACATATTGATCTTCGAGTTCCATGTGCTGTCTATTTTAGTTGTTGCTTCTCTTAGTAGTCCTGTATTGATGTCGTTTCTCTTATTTTGTACAATTCTTTGTCTGTGATTCTGTAATTTGGTTTTATAGCATAAAAGTACCTTAAAAAATTTATTTTCCCCCCTTCTGTTCAGAGATCGTCCGCAGAGCCGGTGCGTACTACCTCCGAAAACCCCCGACCAGAGGCGGGACAAGCCTGATTGGGAGCCCCGGACAGTGCTTTGTTACTGTCGCTATTTTATCGACATTTGCTTTTATTCTATCTATATTTATATACGTTATAAATTAAACTAAACACAACTGGCTGTTAAAGGATGAAAAATTTTCGCGGATTTTGACATCATTCTGATGTCTTTATTTTCTTCGTTCAAATACGTGAATTTGTTTTGGCCAGGCTAAGTCTAGAAAAAAATACTAAAAATTTTATTCCCTAATATTGAATGTGATAAATTATTAATTTTTTTCACAAGAAAAATCTCACTATTTACATTATTCGGACTATTGTCCTCATCTTTGACGACCTATTTATTACAACGTTTCGGGCGTTGTACGCTCCGGCCTTCTTCAGGTGGTTGAAGAGGCCGGACAGCACAACGACCGAAATGTTTAATAAATATGGCGACAAAGATGACACTGGTCCGAATAATTTAATGAAGTGTACGTCACTCATCTCAGAAATTTAGACAGGTACTGAAAGGCCGAAACGTTGTAATAAATATGGCGACAAAGATGAGGACAATAGTTCGAATAATGTAAATAGTGTACATAATACGTCATCTCAGAAATATAGATACTGAAGAAAAATCTCAAATTGATGATAAAAACTGCCGCAAAACATTGATGATTTATTTAAGATGGAAGGATCTATTATAACATGTTTCTAATTTTTATTTAAATAGATTGTATTTATTTTGAATTTTTCTAGTTTAATTGTTCACCTATATTGTCTATGATCCATTATTTGCATAATTAGGTTACAATAAATTTTGTATTTTATATAAATACTACCTCATGAAAATTGAGATGTAGTAGAGTGGGAACACCGTATCATAGATTTAGGGGTGGGTGGGGTTATCACGAGACCCATGCACCAGCTGTGATCATCCGGTTACATTATATTCTTATTATTATGAATTGTTCGTATTCTCCGCATTTAACTGTGTAGTTAACGCCAATTTTAAATATGAACGCTATTTTTTTTTTTTTTTTTTTAGCATTGACTGATAAAAGTCGTGTTGAAATCTCTGTGTGTGCGTAAAGACCACACTCCATGGAAGGACTAGATCTGAATTTACAAAAGGAAGATAAGCAGATTATCTGAGGACATTCACTCTCAGAAGGGAACACAGTCGCTTTAAGATAGAAACAAGACAGAAAAGAACCGCTTTAGCGCGGTAGAGAAAAGGTAAGAGAGTACATATCAATGTCAAGAAGTACAAAAATATAGAGGCACTAGCAAATGCATGGGTGGGGTTAAAGGAGCGGCAATGCATTACCCCCATATAATTCTTATGTACATCCATCCCAATCTTCAATAACTTCTGTTGTAAATATCACCCCAATCTTTTCCCATAGTAAGAAATACGCTGTTGGACGGTTTTCTTTTAGTGACCTACACCAGAATGGATTCACAGTATAGGCTGGAGTGATGGGACAGAACAACACAAGGTGGCATTGGTTCTAGAAGTTAGGTGGAAATGGTTATGATGGTTCAAAAGGTACACACGCCCGTTACTAGATTGGCTTACAGCCATATCACGTTGTAACAACGGTTCCCATATGATGACCAAAGTTAAGCAACGTCCAAAAAATGATCAAAATTATAATTAGCAATGTTACTATTATGATCATTATCATCAATTTTCCTATAGTATTTCCTGGAATATACCATTTTTATTTAAATATCATTTTAATCTTACGGTCATATCATGTTGAAACAACGGTTCCCGTATGATGACCAAAGTTAAGCAACGTCCAAAAAATGATCAAAATTATAATTAGCAATGTTATTATTATGATCATTATCATCAAGTTTTCTATAGTATTTCCTGGAATATACCATTTTTATTTAAATATCATTTTAATCTTACGGTCATATCATGTTGAAACAACGGTTCCCGTATGATGACCAAAGTTAAGCAACGTCCAAAAAATGATCAAAATTATAATTAGCAATGTTACTATTATGATCATTATCATCAAGTTTTCTATAGTATTTCCTGGAATATACCATTTTTATTTAAATATCATTTTAATCTTACGGTCATATGTTGAAACAACGGTTCCCATATGATCACCAAAGTTAAGCAACGTCGAGAATAGTCAGTACCAAGATGGGTGGCTGCTTAGGAATATCAAGTACTGTAAGATTACATATGTGGACGGTGTTTAATGGTTCGGAATTGTTAATCAGAAAACTGAGTTCTAATTCCAGTTGGGTTCGTTATATTCAGTTACGGCGCAAATACCCATTGGGAAAGATATGATTTCACCTCTTCTCCTCCCAGCTATGGCTTAATGAGTAAGATTTGTATCAGTAAACTATTTTTATCTCCAAAAGATAAATGAAAAATTTGTACAAAACATTGAGATTTCGGCATTAAATCACCCATGGAGGTTGATATGCCGCTAAACAAAAACAACCAGCCATTACCAGATTCTTTAAAACGTCTTTTGCCTTGCACCCGTGTAACTGCTTCAAATTACCTCATCGGGAGACGCAATTCTTCCCGAATGGAAAATAGTAACCGATATGAAACTAGCAAACAATGCTGTTTTTATTACTTTGCGAAATGCTTAAAACAAAGCAAAACAAAAGTAAATAAAACGGTATGCGGAAGAAGAAGATGCCAAACAAATGGTATAGTAAATACACCCACTCAGTGCTCGCGTGCATGTACTCACATAGACACACGGATATACGAAAAGGTTGTTGAAAAGTTCTAAGTAGCTTCATCGTATCAAACATTTTATATTTGGTCATTTAGTTAGATTTTAGAAGTAGGTGAATGGATAATATTTCAACATTCCCCCATATTGTATAGTAATAAATAGAATTAAATGTTTACTAGTCTCGTCTCTACTCTGAGTTTTGAAATCTCCGAGATATGTGTGAATTATCCAAGGAAACACAGGAAGCAACGGACATTTAATAGATACATAGGTTAATCTCTTCGAATTGACGGAACATTTGGGTATTACCTCATTTATAAGGTGGGTGCTCAGTTGTGTATTAGCGGCTTGGAATGAGAAACTGGAGGACGGAGATAGTATACCAGTTGGGTTACTTATATTCACTTACGCGCAAATATCTTTAGGAAAGGTGTCAATCCATCTCATCTCCCCATCATATACGGGTAGGACAGACTGGGCCGTATAGCTTTGATTGGCAACCTGTTTAAGAGAAGAAAAAACTGAATTCAAACCAGCATGGTTGGTTGCAGTAAGTGTCGTGTCCCTACGAGCCTAACGGGTTACAGTACTCGTGAACTTGATATATATGTGTGTATAATATATGTGTGTGTGTGTATTATATATATATATATATATATATATATATATATATATGAGAAAAATATTTTACATCGCTACACAAAAGCATTCATGTTTCGCAACTGAAAATTAAATGCTAAAGAATAGTACATTCTTCATCGGTCTGATCTTTTCCTTTTATTTGTATATATATATATATATATATATATATATGTGTGTGTGTGTGTGTATTGGTCTACTCTTGTATAAAGCCCTGTTTTAAATTGATATTATGAACGTTTGAATTTTATTCTTCGTTCTTTTACATTTGGATATTATATATATATATATATATATATATATATATATATATATAGTAGATAAGTTGATTAATAAAACAACAGTAAACCAATGGACAAATAAAGTATATATATATATATATATATATATATATATATATATATATATATATAATACAGACAAACCACTTGTCAACATACTAATAGCGGGATGGGTGAACCGGTAAAGCCGATTGTCCATAGGTGAGAAGGGATTATTCTTTAGTTATAAAACCACAACAGTAACCAACAGTAACTATGATCATAATGTAAATACCATAATCATGTATATTTGGCATAAATAAATATATACGTAATAGTTATATTAGTAAAAATAAGAAAATAATCGACTTCTCACGGCTACTTTCTCGCACTCGCTAATGTATCGTACTTTATATACTGTACACCTGTTTTTGTTTATAATTTAAATGACAGCCACCGCGACCAAGTGGTCATTTTGACAACTAATACGACTTGTTCCACCAAGCCCGTAAATTTTGAAATACATCACAAACATTTTGGAAGTTTTCTTCCTGCATAACTTTTTTTTTTATTTATTTTGCTTACAGATTTTGTCCGTTGCATCCGAAGTCCCTTGACGGAGGGGTCCGTAGATGAGAGATATGTCTGTATATATATATATATATATATATATATATATATATTTTCATATTCAATACGAAACAAAAAGCCCATAAAAATATAGAAATAGAAGAACTATCCCTCCTGACAAACCCAACGAATCAAAAAAAAAATATTATTCTACCCACTAATTCTATCACAACTACAACCGAAAAGAATTTATCTAAACTCAACATAAAATTTTTCACAATTACATCTAAAACAATCAAAAACTTAATCAATAAAAAACAAAACTACAAAGCAAAAACTGAACGAGTAATTCACTCTATGAAGTGCAGGAATTGCCAGAAGGGATATATTCAAGAAATTTCAAGAAGTTTAAGCAATATATGAAAACTATATGAAAGCAAAAAGAACATTTTAAGTAATAACATACAAAACGCATTGGTTGTTCACCGTAACGAAACTGACCACAATCTTGACGGGGGATGCTACTTTGATTAAAAGAGGAAATCCACTAAAACGAAAATGTCTGGAAAATGACTTGAATGCTAATTCAGCCAAAGTAAATTTGCGTCCAGGCTCTTACAATACATTACTATTCTTGGTAGATTTTCTGTTGTCACAATGTGGGATAGTCAGAGACAAAGGTGATGGAGAGAAAAAGAAAATGATGAATTTGGCTAGGTTGAAAAAAATATTCTTTCAAAAGAATAATCTTTCCATAATATTCTTTGAAAAATTTTGAAACTACCAGCATTTCTCGTTTTATGCGCATGTGTAGACGTGGCAACATCAACAATGCACATTCCAATGAAATCCTAACGAATGAAAGGCGTCACAAAACCTTTTTTTCCGATTTGTTATACTAAATACTGTTTGTTTGATATATAAAATTATATATCGTTTATATATATATATATATATATATATATATATATATATATATATATATATATAGTTATTTGGGCAGCAATCCCTCTTTAATGCATATCCCTTTAGTTATTTATGTTTTTCTTGTAGACCTAAAAGTGTTTTCTTTTCTGGCGTTAATGAATGTAAAAATTGTCCAAATTTTGTTGGTTCCGAGCGCTTTCGTCTCCAAAACAAAGTTACTTTCATTTTATCACCGCAGAGAACCTTTTCTGGTTGCCATCAATATGGCTGATGACAAACTCCAGCGATCAACACTCTACGCACGTTTTCCACTGGCGTAAAGCGAAGCAACTGCTAGAAAAGTTGGTTCACTGTATCGCGCAGAATGTGTTCCTCGTCAGAATCCATCTTACACATTTATAAATCTATCATTTGTCTATCCATTGAAGGCTACTGCCATATCCCTGTCTGGTACTCCTGCTGTATATTTCCAGATACATATCAAAATTCCAAGAAGGGTCTGTAATCGATTCAGACCTGGCATCTCGAATTCAGTCACTTTCTCACTGATATGACGTGACTTCTACAAATATTTTCATGGCAACTGTTCTGATGAGCCCCCCTCCTTGGTGTATCGATAGCATGAATTTAAGTGTGTACGGACAGGTGTGTATTGGGCATTTGCGTACCAGACAATTGCGTCTCTGGACATTTGCGTCCCTAGACAAATGCATCCTGGGTAATTGCGTATCTCTGATAATTTTTTCAAGATACCATTTTTTAAAGAGTCCTAGAAATTTGCACATCAATACCTTTAATTACTCTAAACAAGCAGAAAGGTACACTATTTACATTATTCAGACTATTGTCCTCATCTTTGTTGCCTTATTTATTATAACGTTTCGACCGTTGTACGCTCCGGCCTTCTTCAGATGGTTGGAATGTCGAAATGAACCCTTTATTTTGCTCGCTGGAGTAGACTGTTCCAGTTCCCCGTGCCATGTCTAATGGATGTCTGTTATCAGTTATCTCCTGTTAATTCCCTTCTTCAAGAAGAGAGAGTAAATAGTTTACATAATACCTCATCTCAGAAATATAGACAGAAACAGAAAGGATTTAAAAAAGAAAAAAAAAATAATCAAAAGAAAATTAAGCTAGCAGCTTGAGTTCACTCCAGCAGTGCGTACCACAGACATCTAATTGATTCTGGATTTTATAGATTATATTTTTATTTGGAAACCCTGGCTAAGTTCAGAAAATCAAACACTGGTGGAAAAATATTTGTGGACGATTTGAAATTACAGCTGCCACTATCATATGAAAAACGCCGATGAAACAAACACATACTGGCGATGTGTAGAACGATATTGCAAAGCAAGAATTCATTCAGTAAATGACTCAGTCTGGGCAAGCCATAATAAGAATAATCATGGATCCTCAGCTGCTAAAGTCAGAGTACAAGAATGTATGTCCCAGTTGAAAACTACTTCAGTATATGAACCAGAAAGAAGTTTTATTGGAGCAACGATCTCTAATGAAGATGAGTTTTCAATTACCCACATGCCATCTTTATCATCAATGGGAAAACAAATGTACGTCGATGGAGACAAAAAGCATTTTTTAAATTTTATATCTTTTTTAAAAAATTATGATTACTACCTATGCTTTTTTTCAAAATTTGTAGTAATTGCCTTTATTTTCATTTCCCAAGTATTTTCAATCTTCTTCCAAGATCATCTTCAGGTGTGCAGGTAAATAAAAGAAATTTTAACAGCTATTAGCACATTTCTCTCATCCTTTAACATCAATACACGGAAGGTGATTCGTTAGTATGGACGGATTTTATTAAAAATTAGCAGGCATAATGCCTGGAATTTATTCAATCACACACACACACACACACACACATATATATATATATGGATTTAAATTTAAAGAAAAATGTCCCCACCCAGGCAGGAATTGAACCTATATCTGCTTTTACAATTAAGGAAGCCACTCTTATAGCTGAAGCGTGCCATCAACAATTTGGCCACGGGGGCCCATCTTGATAAATTTTTAATGGGGTTTCCTGATCTAGGCCAGTTGGTATTAATTTC